GTCTTTAATAATCTTCCATTTAGCAAAAAGGAGATTAATGACATTAAAAGTAACAAGTTGAATGAATTCTCAGATATTAAAAAAAAAATTCTCTCTTCGACACGATTCTCTCTCTAACACTGTAAAAACATAACCTGCCATTTAGCGAAAAAGAGATTAATCACAAAGTAACAAGTTAAATGAATTATTCTCAGATATTAAAAAAAAAGATGTTTACTGTAGAATAAAAATTTTCTCTTCAACACGATTCTAACTGCGAAATCATAACCTTCCATTTAGCGAAAAGGAGATTAATTACGTAAAAAGTAACAAGTTGAATAAATTCTCAGATATTTAAAAAAAAAAGATGTTTACCGTAGAATAAAAATTCTCTCTTCGACACGATTCTAACTGCGAAATCATAACTTTCCATTTAGCAAAAAGGAGATTAATGACGTTAAAAGCAACAAGTTGAATAAATTCTTCTCAGATATTAAAAAAAAATGTTTACCATAGAATAAAAATTCTCCGACACTAATTCTGACTGCGAAATCAATTTGGAGATCTTTAATCACGACAGCCCTTCGGAGTAGCTGTAGCCTGTAAGCGCAGCAATTCACAACAATCTCTTTACCTAAGTCCTAACCTCAATCTCGCTAATAACTTAAAGGAGATTAATGACGTTAAAAGCAACAAGTTGAATGAATTCTTCTCAGATATTAAAAAAAAAATGATTACCGTAGAATTAAAATTCTCCGACACTATTCTGACTGAAAATCAATTGAGAGGTCTTTAATCACGACTGCCCTTCGGAGCGACAGTAGGCGCAAAACTTTACAACAATCTCTCTATTTAACCTCAATCTCACTAGTAACCTAACCTAAGAATCACCGACGGCGTGCGCGCGGTGAGAGACTGCGAGCGCGACGTTACGAGGAACGGGACTCTTTATGCTGCCGTCATGCTGAACACGATACGTTGTCTCGAGAGAGCGCTGACGCGTTTGCGATCTCTCGGCGTTCCCAGAGTGAACTCCTCGGCCGCGAGGTGTTTCAGCAGCTCGAAAGATTCAGAGGGGCCAGGCAACGATTCGCCCGTGGAGGCCGGCGGCACCGAGAAGGAGGCCGCGACGCAAACGAACGAGAACGCGGCGGCGACGGCGTCGGAATCCCAGACGAGATTGAGCGGCTTCGCGCGTAGCTACGAGAAGTTCTCGCACGTCGACGACAAGAGGCCGGAAACGCCGCAGACGTTCGCCTCCCTGATTCGCAACTCCAAGTTCGTCGACGTAAGTCGTCTCTTCTTCTGTTCTCGCGTGAGAGAACATAGAAAGCGCATAGAAATTACCGCGA